CTTGGCTTCTGGAAGGCCCTCGTCGCCACCGCTGGATTCACCTCAAAATTCTAGTCAGAACGCACCCCAGGAGAGGTCCAGGGAGTAGTGGTATCGGTACATTCTGGTTTCCCCAGATCGATCTTGCTGGTCCGATTCTGTGTCGATCCCAGCGGGTTCGACTTGGATCTAGACTCCGATGTTGTGGCGGTCCGGTGCTGCAGGTTCGTGCGTGGCGCTGTTGTGCATGTGGGCGCAGTCGAGCAGGTTCGGTCTCGACTCCGCGCCGAGGCGCCCCGATGCGGCGCACAGTCCGAGTCGATCCGAGTTCCCGATCCGATGCTGACTGGTCCTGCACCGTGCGCCCTGCACCCGTGTTCGCTGTCTCGGCGGTTCGAATTACCCGGCCGCGACGAGGGGCTGGTGCTCACATGTGGCCGCTGGCGCTTTTTCTCCCTCTTCCAACTCCGCCATCCCGCATCCTCCTACTGCTGCGGCGCTGCTCAGCCTTGCGTGCGCCCTCCCGCCCAAGCCGGTTTAGAAATTCTAAACGCTTGGCGTAGCAAACGATGCCCAGGCGAGTTGCTTTGATCAGGGATGTGGAGGAGCACGCAGTGGAATTACTCAATGCGTGGAGCTCCCCATATGTGCACCCTTTTTGAAAAGTAATATTGTATTTGGGATATTCAAACGAGCGTCTAGCCATATGAGCCATATGTGCATCTCACAGTGTAGGGACAAGCTCTGCGCCAGCAACACCTGGTCACTCCTCCTTGACCGCCGTACGCAACGGGGAGAGCCACTCGGGACACAACGCAAAAGCAGAAAACAGGCAAACCGCTAGAGACATCCCCACAGAACGGCGACGAACGGAGCCGTGAAAGCACCCTTGGCGGCTCCCCTTAGGTAGCTGAAACCAGCGCCCCGCCTGAGACATCCTCACAGTCTGCTCTCAAAGCGAAGGATGTTAGGACAGAAAACGGGCAAACCGCTAGAGACATCCCCACAAAACGTCCGCGAACGGGACCGTGCAATACCCCTTGGCGGCTCCCCTTAGGGGTGCTGAAACCAGCGCCCCGCCTGAGACATCCTCACAATCTGCTCTCCAAGCGAAGGATGTTGGGGCAGAAAACAGGCAAACCGCTAGAGACATCCCCACAAAACGGCCGCGAACGGGACCGTGTAATACCCGTCGGCGGCTCCCCTTAGGGGTGCTGAAACCAGCGCCCCGCCTGAGACATCCTCACAATCTGCTGTGTGTTGAGTAAGTCAGACAATGAGAAGGTCAGAGTATGAGTAAGTCTGGGTATGAGCAGCATGAGTAAGTCTGAATATGAGTAGGTCTAAGTATGAGAAAGTCTGAGTATGAGTATGTTAATATGATCAGGTATGAGTATGAGTAAGTCTGTGTATGAGGAAGTCTGTGTATGAGTAAGTCTAGGTATGAGAAGGATGAGGAGGACGAGAAGAAGAGGAATGAGGAGTAGGAGGCGTCCAAGTAATTACTCGACGCGGGGCTCCCCGTATGTGCATCTCATTATCTTGGTACGTCTTTCTATTGATATCTGTCAATGAACGCCTGTGTTCGAGGGCGAACCGCTCGCTCGAGGCATTCCCACAGTCTGCAAGCATGAGTGCGACCAATAGCAAATCTGAGAGCGACTGATTCTGAGTGTGAGTTAATCTGGGTGCGATTGAGCCTGGGTTTGAGTGGGTATGCGTGTGAGTAAATCTGAGCGCGAGTGCGTCTGTGTGCGAGTGGGTCTGAGTATGGACGAATCTGAGTGTGAGCCAGTCTGTGATTGAGCGGATCGTAGCATGATGAGTCTGAGCATGAGTGAGTCTGGGCTTGAGTGGGCCTGAGTGTGAGAAAAAGTGTGTGTTGATGAATATGAGTGCGAGTGAGCCGAGTGTGATTGGGTATGGATGTGAGGCAGTCTGAGTGTGAGTCGGTCTGCGTTTGAGCGGACCGAAGGATGATGAGTCTGAGCAGGAGCGAGTCTGAGTATGAGTGGTTCTGAGCGTGAGTCTGAGTGTGAGTAAGTTCAAGTATGGATATGAGCCAGTCTAAGTGCGAGTGAGCTTGCGTGTGACTGAGTCTGAGTATGAACGAGTATGAATGCAGAAGAGTGAAGGAGAGCGGAGAGCGAAGGAGAGTGAGGCGGAAGCGTTTGAGTAAAATTTAAAGCCTTGGAACATCGAGCCTCGATCGTCTGGCCCTGGCTACTCGAGTTGCCCACGTCCTCCTCCTCCTCCTCCTCCTCAGCATCATCATCATCATCATAATCATCATCATCATCATCATCATCATCATCATCATCATCATCATCCCCTTCCTGCTTCTGCTCCCACCGTGTTCATGCTGTCCTCCTTCTCCTCCTCCTCCTCCTCCTCCTCCTCGTCCTCTTCCTCCTCCTCCTCGCTTCCTCCTTCTCCTCCTCCTCCTCCTCCTCCTTGGGAGTGCTGAAACCAGCAAATCGCTTGAGACATCCTCTCAAAACTGCTCCGAAAACGACAGATGTCCAGCATCATAATGGCCAAACCGCCGAGACATCCCCGCAAACTGGGCGCGAACGTCCTCCAAATCTGCTCCGAAAGCGAAACATGTTGGAAGAGAAAATGGCCAAACCGCCTGAGACATCCCCACAAAATCCCGCGAAAGGGGCCGAGTGGAATACCCCCCCGCCGCTCCCCTTAGAGTGCTGAAACCAGCGAATCGCCTGAGACATTCTCCAAATCTGCTCTGAAAGCGCAACATGTTGGAAGAGGAAATTGCCAAACCGCCTGAGACATCCCCACAAAATCCAGCGAAAGGGGCCGAGTGAAATACCCCCCCGCCGCTCCCCTTAGAGTGCTGAAACCAGCGAATCGCCTGAGACATCCTCCAAATCTGCCTCGAAAGCGAAACATGTTGGAAGAGAAAATGGCCAAACCGCTTGAGACGTCCCCACACAATCCCGCGAAAGGGGCCGAGTGCAATACCCCCCCGCGGCTCCCCTTAGGAGTGCTGAAACCAGCGAATCGCCTGAGACCTCCTCCAAATCTGCCCCGAAAGCGAAACATGTTGGAAGAGAAAATTGCCAAACCGCCTGAGACATCCCCACAAAATCTTGCGAAAGGGGCCGAGTGCAATATCCCCCGCCGCTCCCCTTAGGAGTGCTGAAGCCACAGAATCGCTTGAGACATCCTCAACATCAGTGTGTGTGTGTGTGAGTCATCCGATGAGTGGACCTGAGTGAGTGTAGTGAATGTATGAGTACAAGTACGAGTGAGTCTGAGTGATGAGTGAGTCTGAGTGATGAGTGAGTCTGAGTGGTGAGTGAGTCTGAGTGATGAGTGATGAGTCTGAGTCATGACTGAGTCCGAGTGATGAGTGAGTCTGAGTGATGAGTGAGTATGAGTGATGAGTGGGTCTGGGTGATGAGTGAGTCTGAGTGGAAAGTGACTGGGTCTAAGTGAGAGGAGTGGTGTGTTCTCTCTCCTCCGGCGCGGTCCGCCAATAACAAGAACCCCATACTTAGGATATGGGGAATAACAAGAAGCCCATCTTAGGATATGGGGAATAAAAGGCTAGGGAAGCCGTCGTACCCCAAGGGGGGGAGGATGGAGCAGGGAGCAGCGAGAAGGAGGAGGAACAGGCGCGGGAGGAGGAGGAGGAGGCAGCTGAGGAGGAGGAAGAGTGTAAACCCACGAGTCATCAACGATGTTAGAATAAACCCACCCTCCAAGCTCCCTCTTCACAGGCCCCTACAACGGTTCATGTCCATTGAGGGAACTGCCTCGTTGGAAGATAACTGTTTGAAGACCCCGAAGCATGCCAAAACATTGTTCTCGGGATTCGCACGCCACGAATCAACCTGATTATTGCGTGTTGACGGTCCTGAAACGTACTATAATGTCATGCTTGGGACTTCAACGCAGCGCATCAACGTAACTTTTGCGCCCGCGTAATCCTGCATCTGTTCAAAGCACCATTCCTGGTACGATGATGATGATAATGATGATGATGATGATGATGATGATGATGATGATGATGATGATGATGATGATGATGATGATGCTGATGCTGATGATGATGCTGATGCTGATGCTGATGCTGATGCTGATGCTGATGCTGATGCTGATGGTGATGATGATGGGAATTCGTGAAGTCTTCGCAAATGTTGTAAACGGCTTTGCGCGGCGCTAAGGCGAGAGCCACATTTTGCAAAGGAACCACCCTCGATCTGTGAAGCTCTTGTAAACGCTTGAAACAAATGTGCGCCGCGCTAAGGCGAGGGCCACATTTTGAAAACCACCCGCCCTCAATCCGTGAAACTCTTGTTAATGTGTACAACGACTGTGCGCCGAGCAAAGGCAAGAGCCAAGTTTTGAAAACGACCCGCCCTCCATTTTCGAAACTGTTCCAATGTTTTAAACGAATGTGCGCCGCGCTAAGGCGAGAGCCACATATTGAAAACGACCCGCCCTCCATTTGTGAAACTGTTGCCAACGCTCAAGCTTCAGAGTCATAAATGGTGGGGAAACCTCAGGAGAAACGCCCGGCCCGTCCTAAAAACTGGCCTCGAGGTGCGACAGGGGGAAATTATTCATATGGAAAAGGAATGAAGGTGCATCAGGAGGAGGGGGAGGAGGGCGACCAGAAGGGCCACAGGCCTCTTGGGGCGGCCTGGGGGTCTTCAGGCGGTCCCGGGGCCTCTTGGGGCGTCTTGGGTGCCTCTGGGGAGCCTCTTGGGGCATCTTGTGGGCCGCTTGGGAGCCTCTTAGGGACGTCTTGGGGGCATCTCGGGGCCGCTTGGGCGCCTCCTGGAGCCCTCTTGGGGGCCTTAGAGACCTTTTTGGGAACATCTTGGAGGATATCGATCAAAGAGGGGGGGTCCTTAATTATAATCGCTTCGCTGGAGCTTCCACAGTTTACTCGGGGCCCTGTCGGACCGCTCTTGGGGCGATCATGGGCGGTCGTGGGGCCACCGTCGTGGAGCCTTTTTGGGCCTCTCTTAGGGCCCTCTTGACCCTCTTGGAGCCGTTTTGGCTGAAGACAAATGAGTAGGGCCCTAGCCCCGACATTCCCCCTCGCCGCGGCGCGTCGCATGGTCTGCGCGGCCGTACGTGCAGCATGAGCCGATTCAGCGACGAAACGCCCGATCAGGAACGCCTCTGCGAGTCGAACTCAAGCAGACAGTCCTCGGAGTCCTCAGAGTCTGCGGCGTCGCCGGGGATCGGGCTGCAGCTGCACGCCCTCACCGCGCTCAACTTCGCGGCGTGCTTCTTCTGTGGTGGCGTCGTGTGGGGATGGGGGCCCCTGCAGCTGTTGCTCGAGAAGGACGGCGTCTACGCTTCAATGTGCCCAGCGGAAACGCCACGCTGCACTGAACGCAAGGAAGCCTTGCTGCTCCTATTCAACGCAAGCGTGTCTATCGGTACCTATGCTCTGCTTCCTATTGGCGTGTTGGTGGACAAAGCGGGCCCCAGAGCCAGTGGCGCAATTGCAGGGATCTTGCTGGCCATTGGTAGTGCTCTGCTGGGATATTCAGAGGACGGCGGCCTGGAGGCATTCAGCGAGGGCATCGCCCTGATTGTCATCGGGGGGCATCTTGTCCAGGCCAACTCTTTTCCACAGCCACGTGGTGCCAGAGGCCAGCGTCCCTTTTGTCATGACAGGCGTGAACTGTTGTTACGATGCGTCCACCACAATCTCTTGGTTCTTGTACCAATTATATCAGAACGCTGGCCTAAGTCGGAAGTCGACGTTTTTCTGGTATGCAATCTTCTGTCTCGTGTTGCACGCTGTGATGGGCATGTTGTGGAGCGGCGGCCCCGCCGCATGCTTGTGCGCCGCTAAGGCTAATGTGGCAGATTCTGGCATGGATTCGGGCAGCGAGCGAACAGCACCGCCTCTGCACGGTCTCCCCCTGCGAGACCAGCTGGCATCCTTCGAGTTCGCGTTTGCTTTGATTTTCCTGTGCATCCAGAGTTTCCGCTGCACGTTCTACCTGGGCTCCAACAAGTGGTTGCTCGACAACCTTGGCGACGCAGAGACGAACAATTTCTACTTGGGTGCCTTCTCGCTGATCCTCCCGTCTGCTATATTCTGCATGCCTGTCATCAGCTGGCTCATGCGGCGCTACGGGTACGCGGGAACATTTCTCACGACGGTCATCGTCGGGGCGCTTTGGAACATCGTCGCCCTGGTCCCGTCGCTCCCAGTTCAGATTGTTGCTTTCGCGTCATTCTCCTTGTTCCGGGCCCTTCTTTTCTCCGGGATCTTCGCTTTCGTCGCGCAGATATTCGGGCCGCGCACGTGTGCCACGGTCCAGGGTGTGCTTTTTGTCGCCGCCGCGAGCATTGGTCTATTCGTCTGGCCGTGCCTGGTGTTCGTCGACCGCCACCTTGGCGGAAACCTATCACCGATCTTTGCCGTAATCCTGGCACTGCTCGTGCCTCTGGTCGCCATGTTGCCAAGACTGCAGAGCAGACTCGAGCGAGGGCCAGCCGCAGACTGCAGCGACCCCGCCTGCAAGCAGGGCCAGGACCAGTCTCTCTTGTAGCGCGAATCTGCGTTGTTTCAGCTGCCTGCGTTTCCATCTAGCCTCCACTTTTGCCAGACATGGGGTGGCGGGAGGTGGGTTGGGAGGTGCGATTGGGGAGGACCAGAAAACCATTGTGGCATATTATTGTGCAGACGCCTGTTCCGCAGCGGCATGGATTGCGTGGCTTGGCCGGGACTTACATGCCTGCACTTGTATATTTTTTCACAGCCGAAGACAGAGCCTTAGACGAGGCGTCGTCATTCGTACACAACCTTCTCGTGCTGTCCGTAGGGCCCCGCCCCAAACGACAGCGGTAAGTTTGCACCACATTTGAAGAAATGGTTTTCACCATGACCAGTCGAGGTAGAATTGCCAGTCTTTGCGGGCTTCAAGCATACATATATATATATATATATATATATATATATGCATATACATATACATATACATATACATATACATATACATGTATATGTTTGTGTGCATATGTATATACACATACGGGAGATCCCGGGCTCCGGGCCGGGACCTCCCTTGTATTTCGGTGCCCCCCCCCCGGCGGCTTTCTTGGAAGCCCGGGGCCTCCCTGGGGCGTCCCCGGACCCTCCCTGAGGCCTCTTCGGCGCTTCTATTGGGTTACCGGGCAGCCCAAGATGGCGCCAAGACGGCCCAAGAAGCCCCCGAGACGCTCCACGACGGCTCCAGAGGCCTCCTAAGGCGGCCCAAGAGGCCTTCAGGAGGCACCCCAAAAAGGTGCCAAGAGGCAAACATAATTGATTTTCCATAGGAAAATGTATATTTTTAGCAGGTGCACTTTTTCGGCATTCACGGCGTTGAAGACGGTCAAAGAGACCCCTACGATCGCCCCAAGACGGCCCCAGAGGTTCCCAAGAGGCGCCCAAGACGGCCCAAGAGGGCGCCAAGACGGCCCAAGAGGCCCCCAAGACGGCCCAAGAGGACCCCAAGACAGTCCCAAGAGGGGTCCAAGACGGGCAGCCCGAACCCAGAATCCGAGCTTTCCGCCCCAAAAAGGCTCCAGGATGCCCCAAAAGGCCATCGAAAGGCCCCGAAGAGGGCCACGCGAAGCTGCCACACCGCATTCCCTCCGAGCAGAGCCCCAGCGGGCGCAGGAGGCGCAACGATGCTCCAGGCTCTGCCCCTCGGTCAGCTTCGGGAGACCGAGGAAGCGCCCGAGACTCCGAAATCCTCGGACAAGGCCGCCAAGACGTCGTGTTAGCAACTTTCCGAGGAAGAGGTCTCCAGGGCCACACCACGCGGCAACGAGGTCAGCAAAGACTGCAGCAGCTGGGCAAGGATCCGGACTCCTTCCCCAGAGTACAGGTGCACCTCGCGCGGCTCGTCGGGGCTGCATCCGATCCCGTACCCCGAGCTGCCGCCCGCGGTGCAGCAGCCGTGCGCCTCGTACCCCGAGGCGACGGCCGCGCCAGACACGGTGGCGCGTGAGGCCGCGGACTCCGAGAGCCCGAGCGACGGGGCCCCCAGCGCCAGCCCAGCTGCGCCAGGTGCTCAGCATTGGATCGGTGGGCCACCCGTACAAACTGCGGCCTGCCCTGCAAGCACTCGCGCGGCAGTCGCGTGCGCAAGGACGCCGCTGCTTGCCCACGCTGCCACGTTCTTGCCCGTGGAAGCGCTCCGATGAGCTTGCCCGAACAGCGGAGAAGCGCGCCCGCGTGCGCACGGCGGAGGCGGAGCCGACGGAGCAGGCGGAGCAGACAGAGACGAGCGAATGAACCCTGAGGCGATCGGCCAGGCCGGGTTGCAGACGGGCTCGGCGGGGGAGCCCGCGCATTTTGAGGCGACCACACTTGCTCGACGGAGGTGGGGTTGATTGGAGATCGCAGCGCTTTAAATTTGCAGCACGTGTTGTCAGGGCAGTCCGTATTGTAGTAGAGCTCTGCTCGCTATCTGCCCCTAATGGCATGCTTTCTCTTAGGTGGGTGGGGCGTCAAAGCTTCTATGAGCGGGATATCCCGACATGCAATTTCGTGTCCTACACGAGACGCGTGCGAAGTTGCGCGACAGTGCCGTCGCTCATCAGGCTCGAGCTGTCACTATGTCTTGATGCTTCTGTGGGCGGCAGGTTGCGCAGTGTCCCTGGTGTCCTCGCAGCGATTTGGGATGAGGCTCCGATTGGAGCCAGATTGATTTGCGATAGTGTCGCGATGATATTTAGACTGATCTGAGCTTCGCTACAAGAAGCAACGAGCTGCCCCCCCCCCCTGCAGGCCCGGGTGCAGTTGGCATAGAAAGGATTGGTGTTTTCCCCGTGGGTTCTAACGCCATGTTGGCATTGGCGTTTGGACAGCGCGGGAAGATTTTTTGGCTTACGCCGCACCGCCAACCCCTTGGGCTGTTGCGGCTTCTGGGTGCTTCAAGACGGCCCACGAGGACCCGAAGAGGGCCCAAGACGGCCCGGGGGGCTCCCCAGACGACCCAAGTGTGCCCCAAGAGAGCCCCAACAGGGTGCCCAGAGGGGGACCGCGAACCGATATTTCGAGGTCTCTGGCCCTAGATAGAGGCCCCCAGTAGGCCCCCTGAGGCCACCAAGAGGCTCCCACGAAGCCCCGTGAGGCGACCAAGAGGCCCCCAGAAAGCCCCAAGATGCCCCAAGGGGTCCCCAAAAACGCAAAAGGGGCCCCCCAACACACCCCAACACACCATGTTCCCAGAAAGCTTTCTGGGGACATGCTTCATCACGGGCCCGAGAGACTCCGGAGGCTCCGAAGTACCATCGCGCTCCCGGAGAGTTGTTTGGGAAGTTGATTGGGAGCATGATTGATCGCCTTCTCGCGGCCCTCCGCGGATCGTTTCGCGCAAAGTTGTCCCAAGTGCCCACTTGAACCGACGACGACGACGACGACGACGACGACGACGACGGCGACGACGGCACGCCCCAGCAGGCTCCCCAAGACGCCCCCCAAACCCATGCTCCCGCAATGCCTTTTGGGAAGCCGATTAATCAGGCCTCCGCCCCCCTACGCAGCCATCCTCCCCGAAAGCCTTCCAGAATGCGGATTGACACGCATGGACTTCTCACTGCCCATACTACGTTCAGCGTTGTCGGCAATTTACTTCCCGCTCAAACCATCTGTGGTCCACTGACTTCAGCGGAGCAGTGCACTCGTCAATGCCTGGGGTCTGCTAGAACCTGAGCGCGCGCGACGCGCGCGCGATGGTTCTAATACATGTATGTATATATATTATATATATATATATATATATATATATATATATATATGTGTGTGTGTGTGTGTGTGTATATATATATATATATCCCGGGGGACGAGGTCCCCCGGCCGAGCCCAAGGACCTCGGGGGCGCATGGGGGTGCAGGGCCCCCGGGGCCGCTCGGAAGGGTTCCCGTTTGGCTCCAGAGACCGCCAGGGCGGGCTCCAGCCCAGCCAAGACAGCCCGCGAGCGCTCCAACACGCGCCAGCATGGCTTCCAGACGAGCCCAGCGGCCACCAACACGTCCCAAGCGGCCCCCAAGACGCCTCCCAAGAGAGCCCCAAGGGGCAAACAACGTTTTTTTTGTCTTCTCGCTTTTCCTGCTTTCCGACGCTCCAAGACGGCCCAAGAGGCCCCCAAGAGAGCCCCAGGACGGCCCCAGAGGCCCCTAAGCCGGCCCCAAGACGGCCCAAAAAGCCCCCAAAGGCGTCCCGAGACGGCCCAAAAGGCCCCCAGGACGGCGCAGGAGCCGCCCAAGACAGCTCCAGGAGGGCCCCGCCATGGCCTGAACACTGCCTAAGCGAGCCCAGCGGACCTCCAACACGCGCCAGCATGGCCTCCAAACGAGGCCAGAAGCCACCAACACGCCCCAAGCGGCCTCCAAGAGGCCTCCCAAGGAGCCCCAAGAGGCCACAAACGTTGATTTTCCATTGTTTTTTTCTATTTGTTTTGCCTTCTCGCTTTTTCTGTTTTCCGATGCTGCCAGACGGCCCAAGAGGCCCCCAAGAGAGACCCAGGACGGCCCCAGAGGCCCCTGAGCCGGCCCCAAGACAGCCCAAGAGGCCCCCAAAGGCGTCCCAAGATGGCCCAAGTGAGCCCCAAGACAACCCAGGAGCCGCTCAAGACAGCCCCAGGAGGGCCCCGACATGGCCTGACGACTGCCTAAAAGGCCAGCGAGCCTCCAACACGCGCCAGCATGGCTTCCAGACGAGCCCACAGGCCACCAACACGCCCCAAACGGCCTCCAAGAGCCCTCCCAAGAGAACCCCAAGAGGCCACAAACGCTGATTTGTCATTGGTTCTTTCGATGTTTTTCGCGTTCTTGCTTTTTTTGCTTTCCGACGCTCCAAGACGGCCCAAGAGGCCCCCAAGAGAGCCCCAGGACGGCCCAAGAGACCCTTCAGCCGGGCCCAAGACGGCCCAAGACGCCCCCAAAGGCGTCCCAAGACGGTCCAAGAGCGCCCCAGGACGGCGCAGGAGTCGCCCAAGACGGCCCCAGGAGGGCCCCGACATGGCCTCAAGATTGCCTAAGCGAGCCCAGCGGACCCCAAGAGGGCCCCACGAGGCCGCAAGAAGCCCCCCGAGGCCACCCAAGCGCCCCCCAAAAGGCTCCCCGGAGGCTCCCAAGAGGCCCAACAACTCCTCCCAATACGCCCCAGAGACTTCCAGTATGCCTCCAAAAACTGACCCCGAGAGGGTCATGCGAGGCCCCAAGACAGCCCAATGATGGCCACGCGAGAGCCACACCATACATTATGATGATGAGGAGGCGTAAGTAATGGTGGCGAGGGATGCTGATGACAAGGATGGAAGGGGAGCGAAGGATGAGGAGGACTGGGGAGTGACTCGAGGTGAGGAAGGACGAGAACGAGGTGTAGGAAGAGAAGGAGCGGCAGATTGAAGAGAGCGGGGAGGACATGGAGGAGGCTGATGATGATGAGGAGGAGGAGGAGGACGAGGAGGAGAGGAGGACGGGGAGCAGTGACGTAACCAGCCCTTAACATTTACGCTCCCAAGAGCGAAGGGTGCCATGAGCCGTCTCGGGCAAGTTCCTTCAGCGCTCTTTCCGTTTCCGTGCACAACCATTGGCCCATCCATGGAGCCATGACGGGGCCCAGGTC